CAAACACACAAACAAACAAAGACAATGAGGATGAAGATGATCAAAGAACTGGAAACTAAATACTAAGAGGAGAAGTTGAGGGAATTCGATACATTGTATTCTGAAAAAAGAGAGCTGGTTTGGTGTAGTGCTTACGGGAGCAGGCTAGAAACTGGGAGTTTGTGAGTTCTAGTCCTGCCTTGGGCACAAAGCCAGCTGGGTGACCTTGGGCCAGTCACTCTCTCAGCCCTAGGAAGGAGGAGGCAAGGGAAAACCTTGCCAAGAAAACTGCAGGGACCTATGCAAGCAATCACCAGGATTCAGCTCAAAGGCACAAATAAATAAATAAAATCCTGAAAAAGATGGTAAAGGAATCTGAAGGAATATTATTAGGAAATATAATTACAATATTTCTAATTCTAATAGAAATATTGTTAGGCCTAGCTTATTCTGTATTGTCCTGAAGTGTAGGGCACATGTCATAAGCTGTAAGAAACATTATGGTTCAATGTTAGGAAATATTTTCTAATAATAAGAGCTAGTTGACAGTGAAACCAATTACTTAGAGAAGTGGTACGCTCCATTTCACTGGATGATTTCAAGCAGAGCCTAGATGAAAATTCATCCTGGATGTTTTAATTTGGATTCCTCTATTGAGCAACACTGCTTTTTTCTGCTAATGTATATACCCTTCTGCACTATGTTTCTATAAGCAAACAAACCCAAGGAAGGATAGGTGTATTCTTACAATACTACATCTGAACCAGCACATTAAAGGGCAATAAATATATGTTAGGTCCTAAATATGCAATCATACAGTGACTGGAATAAAAGTGCACTTAAATGATCTTACTTTCTTTTTAATATAATTTTATTGAAAGTTTTAAAGAACAAGAGTAAAAATTAATACAAACTGAAATAAAGAAGGAAAAAAGAAAAAGGAAGAAATAAAAGAGAAAGCTTAAGTGCAAAAAGAAAAAGGAAAAAAGTAGAAGAAAAATAGAAAAGAAAAAAGTTATAAAGAAGTGGCTTCTGATCTTTACAGCAGTTATAAGTACAATTGTAGATTTACCTCTTTCTTTAAAGTTACATCGTGACTCTCTTCTTTCTATAATTTATCCTATCTAATTGTCAGAACCATAGATCATTTTTTTCTGTTTTATGCAAAAAGTCCATAAGGAGTTTCCAGTTAGCAATAAATATAGATATTGTCTTTTCTCTAATCAAACAGGTCAGTTTGGCCATATCAGCAAATTCTGTCACCTTCACCAACCATTCCTCCATTGTAGATATTGCCAAATCTTTCCATTTTTGGTGTGTATGATAATCTTGCTGCAGTTATCATATATAAAAACAAAGTTCCATGACTTTTTTCCAACTGC